TTAAAGCCTGGTCTGCGCTTCAATATTGGGCAATCACGAACTAGCTGTGGGTCGAGTTATGGCCGAGGCAGTGAGGAATTGGGGGCAAGTTTGTACGACAACGGAGGGACATGAGGGCGAAAAAGGAGCATTGATCCAGGTGAATAAAAGAGTGCCAGCATTCTCACGCAGCTCGCTCTTCTGGCTGGTCCAACTTCACGAGTCTATGGCGGTCATACAAACTAAACAAGCCGGTAAAGTACCAAACCGGAAATACGCATACTGTAGAGCAGATGTAGATCGACTAATCAGAGGCTTCCTGTCTGCGGCACTGTCTGTGGTCAGCTACAATTTTGGAGAGGTGCAGCAGAGTGTCTGCTGAAGGGGCGGACGACCTAGTTTCTGAGTATAAATCAGCCTTTACTGTGCATATACAACCCTCCCTATTTAATTCAAATAAAAAAAATAGTTAATTAATCCCAAACACAAATTACAAACAAGATTTCCTTTGCTATAGATAGCCATTTATAAGCACTTTACATTTTTTTTTTGCGCAGTCTTGTTCTCAATTAACACTGATCTCAGTACATGGCTTTTGTGCACCTCAAAAAAAAATATATTTTTTAAAAGATAGGACTTCCCTTACAGGTTGAAATCTTTGAGTGTATCATAGTTTTACTAGCAACATTAATTCAAGATTTCAAAAATTTCATAAAAATACTGGGATTTGTCAAAAAGACAAATTATATGTGCAGAGGCCCATGCTTAACTTTTTATTTTCCATTAGCCTGACAAAGCAGTCCTATTAACTTTAGATATAGAGAGGATGCTTCAAAACCTCACGAGACTCGCCATCTCACCTCGCATCACTAGATACCTAGAAGAGAAGCTGACAGAGACTTTATGCCTTTAACAAATCAAAGGGACAGTATATTAATAGCCTAGTGGCGTCTCCATTGAATGGAGATGTAGTGACAGTGGAGCTCATTAAAGAACAGGGATCCTTTTGTCTATTATCTTGCTCGAAGCATCTAATGGAAAATGGGTACATTTATTCCAAAGAGGAATGGAAAAGGGTCATTATTATTACTTGAGAGTTTTGTTTTTTAAACAGTGCCTAGTGGGTACCAATTTTTCCAAGGTGTGCCAGAAAACAATTAAATTCTATTCAGTTAATTTATATAGTGCCAATTCTCAACACATGTCATCTCAAGGCAGTCAAATTGATTCAAAGTTTTCTATCTAAGGAAAATCAGTGGATTGCATCGACTCAAATGCAATCCCTTACACTAAGCATGCTTGTAGCGACAGTGGAGAGGAAAAACTCCCTTTAACAGGAAGAAACTGGGGTTCAAGGAGACAGAAGCAGAGATACAAAGAGCAGCTATAAAAGGCGGCCCCGTCCAGGAAACACACAGCCAGGCAGACGAGCTCCGAGCCAACTCCCATTTCAGAGGATGAAGAGAGCACATCCAGCCTGTCACAGTCAGAGAAACAGGACTACACTGAAAAACAGGCAGATCTCTAACATCTATAAACAAAGGTGTTGATGGCAGCAGCACAGCTGATATATCTCTCCAGGATGGCGTCACAGCCAAACAGCAACAGATGAGGTAAAGCTACTTTGAGAAAAAGCAG